GAGAAAGGGAGAGGAGGAGGAGATGCTGGGGGAGGAGGAGGAGATGCTGGGGAGAAGAGGAGAAGATGCTGGGGGAGAAGGGAGAGGAAGAGGAGAATGTGGGGAAAGGAAGAGGAGATGCTGGGGAGGATAGGGGAGGAGGAGATGCTGGGGGGAGAAGGGAGGAGGAAGAGAATCTGGAGGAGGAGAATGAGGTGCTGGGGAGAAGGGAGAGGAGGAAGAGAATCTGGAGGAGGAGGAGAATGAGTGCTGGGGGAGAAGGGGAGAGGAGGTAGAGAATCTGGAGGAGAGGAGAAGGAGGTGCTGGGGGGAGAAGGGGAGAGGAAGAGGAGAATCTGGGGGAAAGGAAGAGGAGATGCCGGGGGGAAAGGAGAGGAAGAGGAGAATCTGGGGAGAGGATGGGAGAGGAGGAGATACTGGGGGAAGAAGGGGAAAGGAGGAAGAGAATCTGTAGGATAGGAGAAGGAGGTGCTGGGGAGAAGGGGAGAGGAAGAGGAGAATCTGGGGGAAAAGAAGAGGAGATGCCTGGGGGAGAAAGCGAGAGGAAGAGGAGAATCTGGGGGAGAGGGAGAGTAGAAGGAGGAGATGCTGGGGTGAGAGGGAGATATGCTGTGGGTAGTAAAGGGAAGATGCTGGGGGAAAGAAGAGGAGAATTAGTTCGGACAACTGTACAAGTTGTTTTTTCTAAACTTAAACCTCAGTATTCAGGTTTAATTGCCCTGTTGGCACTTTGAGGAAAAAAAGTTGGCATGTATTGCGGTTTGGGCACTCAGGCTCAAAAAGGTTCACCATCACTGCACAAGAGGAACTTTCTGGATTTTAACAGACTCCAGGTCGCCTTAATGACGCTGGAAGTCCTCATGCTTTTTTGAGAATATCCAGCATCAGTGAAATCCCCATAGGAAACCATTGAAGCAATGCTCCCCTAGAAGGAGGGCCTAATGCGCTTGCCGCACATGCGCATTAGTTTTCCCATCGGATGCCGATGAAGGAGGCGGAGCTCTGACCCAGCGCCAAGGGAAATTGGTGCTGGAATCAGGTAAGTGACTAAAGGGGCACAAGGAGAGGGGGGAGGCAGAGTGCACTATAGTGTTATGAATACAACTTTGTATTCCAGACACTATAGATTCCCTTTAAGATCACTGCATAGGATAGTACACAAAACATCCTGTCCTTACTTTTATATTGTTCACTGTAGTTGCAGTGATTTGTACAGATCACTGTAGCTATATTCCAGCCATCCCACTACTGACCGTACATAATCTTGTTCACTCATTATCATGTCTGTCCACGGTAAGTCTAGTACATGAAAAAAGATGAATGGAGTTATTTGGCAAATTAGTAAAAGCAATATATCAGCTATTGTTTTTCTTACTTTATACCTAGGGGCATTTCAGTTCTATATAGGATACTACTGGTGGACCCACCACTCCTTTTCCAGGGTGCATGGGATATAAAGTCGGGGACATCACTATATGGCCCGCAATGGTCTAAAACAGCGTTTCCCAATTGGTGTTCCGCGAGAACACAAACAGGGTTCCGCCAAAATGTGTGTGCATGTGTGTGTCAGATTCATACACACTGACATACAGATACACACACTGGTGCATACAAACACAGATACACACGCATTGATACACAGACACACACCGGCACAGATGAGGACATAAGATACAAGCCCTTATCAGTGCTCCTCTCACAGATTTCAGTCCCGATTTCCAAATATAAGCAGTCCCTGACTAGACATTTTCTAACTGCAGTGAGATCTCTGATCCCTGCCCGTGGGATGCAGCGTGCAGTGCCAACCTTTAACAGTTGGGTGGAGAGGGTTGAGGAAATCAGATCCACGGAGGAACAGACTGCAACATTACATGACAGGACGTATAGGTTTTTAGAGGCTTGGATTCCATGGTTGTTCTATGTATCCTCCCAGGCGACTGTGGGTTAGCAGGGGACTTCGGCAGGGGGGTGTCTCCATACTGGATGGGGAATTTATGACGGACAATATTTGTGCGGTAATACAGTCTCGCATAGAAAGGGGAGAGACACCATGTTGTCTCTTTTTGTAACTTGTGTATAAGGCACTAACTTCCTACGCACATTATAAACTACTTAATCTGCATTTATATTTTACCCCTCCTCCACCCTCCTTTTATTCCACTCCATTTTCTTCCTACTGATTCTTTGACTCTCAAAGCTGAAGATAATTATTTTCCTAATCTTCCCTAAGATAATCTCGATATCCACTGGTGCGGGTGTCGTTCATGGACCAAATACTTATTTACCCGTTATTACGAATGGAGATATCCATCCCCATCAATATATGGCATGGATGAATAGTTACTTACTGTTTTATTGATTTCTATTGTTCTTAGCTAAATGGAGTATTGGGTTGAAGTGTATTTGAAGGGTAGTCCTACATTATCTTGCTGTACATTAAGAGGATGTGCTGCATTGTACGCTCCTATTCTTACGAATCACGAATAACCTGTATGACATTTTCAAACGACCTGTTGCACAATAACTATTGTTCATCTCATCACTTCTTGTTTGTTTAATATGCAACAACCATGAAAACAAAAAAACTTTTTTGCTATAAATATTGTCAAAAAATAAAATAAAAAGGACATAGGCGTGTACAGCCTATTGCATTAGGGTGTGCACCATAAAGCACAAGCACACGCCGCATGTGTATCTATGTATGTATGTATATATATATATATATATATATATATATATATACACACACACACACATACATACACTGTGTGTGTGTGTGCGCTGTGTGAGGGTGCTGTTAGTGTGATGTTTGTGTGAGGGTGCTGGTAGTGTGCTATGTGGGTGAGGGTGTTTGTGTGTGTGTGTTTGTGAGGGTGCTGTTAGTGTACTGTGTGAGGGTGCTGTTTGTGTGCTGTGTGTGAGGGTACTGGTAGTGTGCTGTGTGTGTCTTTGTTAGGGTCCTGTTAGTGTGCTGTGTGAAGGTGATGTGTGTGTGTTGTGTGCTGTGTGAGGGTGCTGTGTGAGGGTGCTGTGTGTGTGACGTTGATGTGTGTGTGAGGGTGCTGTTTGTGTGCTGTGTGTGGGTATTGTGTGTTTGTGAGGGTACTTTTAGTGTGCTGTGTGTGAGTGTGCTGTTTGTTTGCTGTTTGTGAGGGTGCTGTTAGTGTGCTGTATGTGAGGATGCTGTGTGTTTGCAAGGGTGCTGTTAGTGTACTGTGTGTGTGAGGGTGCTGGTAGTGTGCTATGTGGGTGAGGGTGTTTGTGTGTGTGTGGGTACTGGTAGTGTGCTGTGTATGTGTTTGTTAGGGTCCTGTTAGTGTGCTGTGTGATGGTGATGTGTGTGTGCTGTGTGTGGGTGTCGTGTGCTGTGAGGGTGCTGTTTGTGTGCTGTGTGTGGGTATTGTGTGTTTGTGAGGGTACTGTTAGTGTGCTGTGTGTGAGTGTGCTGTTTGTGTGGGTGCTGTTAGTGTGCTGTGTGTGAGAATGCTGTGTGTTTGTGAGGGTACTGTGTGTGTGAGGGTGCTGTGTGTGTGTGCTGTATGTTTGGGTGATTTGTGGGGGTGGAGGTGGGGGCAGATTAGTTAATAAATATCCCCCCTCCCTTATTACCTTATGTAGGGAGGGGGGATCCTTGTTGCTGCTACCTTCCCTGGTGGTCCAGTGGAGGTGGGGGCAGATTACTTAATATCCCCCCTCCCTTCTTACCTTATGTAGGGAGGGGGGACCGTGCTGCTGCCTTCCCTGGTGGTCCAGTGGAGAGTGAACTCTACCCTGCGGGGCTAGAGTTCACTCTCGCGAGATCTGAGATCTTGCTTATTGTTCTCAAGGTGGCCAGCTTTATACACACCCCAAAAGTTTTTTCAAGGTGTTAGCCTTTACGGTATAGCTTACCTTGGAAGGTTATCCAAAGTATCTACTACACTTTCTGTAATATTGTACTTTCACACATCTCAACGTGTCCCTGAGGACAAGAAAGGTAATTCAGTTTTGTTCCATTCTGTTAACTGACCTACGTTTAGGAAAGAATATTACTACACTATTAGGTTGAGCAATACTTTAACAAGGGATTTATGTCTTATTATGTTCTACACATTGTCCATATACCTAAGGTATATGTACCTACAATTGAATTGGAGAGATTGATAACACCTCATTAGGAGCCATAACATAAAGAATCATTGTGTATACATGTGAACTGCAGTGACCTCATGGCTCATAAATGTTTAATACACTTGGACTGGTTTCTACTCAGTTTAGTTATTTGCTCTGTTGGGGCCTTACTGCCATATACACTTGGCTGGATATCCACCATAGCAACCAAACACTCTCTAGAAATTTTTCTTTCAGCGCTTTCTGAAATCATATCCTCCTAGTATTGTTTTTCTATTCTTTTTTTCCCTATTATTCAGGTTTTCTTTTACCCAAGCCTCAGAAAAATGAATTGTGGTTTGTGAGTTTGTTTGTTTTCTATTAAGGAACGTTAACGTTTCCCATCCCAAATACCTTCCATCAAACAACGGTCAAACGGAATGCTGGGATTTTATTTTTTATGTATTACTTTTGTATAATTGTAGAATTTTGTTTTTAACTGAAAAAGGAACCATCAGCATGTAGGAGTTTATTTTAATATTTTACATAAAAGCGAGTGTGTATGGCTCGTTTTTCATTTCATGTAATTTTCACCAAGATCACAAATGTATTTTTAAAAGATATATTTATGCATATCAGCTTATTTTTCCCATGATTCCTCTCTCTTCAGGGAAAATGTTTTTATGAACAACACACAAACTCTGTTATTTTGGTTTGGAATAGCGCGCAGGTTTGTTTTTATCTGGGCTGATGAATACTATTATTATTATAATTTTATTATTTATATAGCGCCATCAGATTCCATAGCGCTGTACAAGGGGTGGACTAACAGACATTTAATTAACATTAATTTAATTAACTCGACGTACAGGACCAGAGGAGTGGCCCTGCTCAATGAGCTTACATTCTAGAGGGAGTTGGGTATAGTGACACAAAGGGTAAAAGTAGGGGTACGAAGTAAGTTATTAGAAAAATATACGCTGAGGGCTTAGTAGGTAATATTTGACAGTTGCAGGAGAGGAGTCATGGAGGGTGGAGGATAAAAACCTGCTAACAGTTTAATTGATACGCTTTCTTGAAGAAGTGAGTTTTCAATGATTTTCAGAATGAGTTGAGACTGGGTGAAATTCTTACGGAGGAGGGAAGGAGTTCCACACAAGAGGTGCAGCCCTGGAAAAGTCTTGGAGGCGAGCGTTAGAGGTGGGAGTACGGACAGAGGATATACTATAGCCATTGCTGCTGACCAAGAGTAGTTGGTAGCACAGGGCTTATTATAGTGTGTTTTTATTTGCTTTTGCATTTCACAGCTACGTTACAGTGCTGCCACCCACTCCATGTGTGCTTAATTAAAGCTTAAAAAATGTTCACAAGAACACCCATTTCTGTCTTATTAGAGATCTTGCCTTTTAGCTGAACACAGCAAGGTGTATACGTAGTGTAGGACTCACCTAGAGGTTTTCCTTGATACCACAAGTGAGCTTACATTTGAATGGCCAGCACATCTTAAGCTTAAAGGACCACTATAGGCACCCAGACCACTTCAGCTCAATAAAGTGGTCTGGGTGCCAAGTCCATCTAGGGTTAACCCTGCAGCTGTAAACATAGCAGTTTCAGAGAAACTGCTATGTTTACATTAGGGTCAATCCAGCCTCTAGTGGCTGTCTCATTGACAGCTACTAGAGGCACTTCCGCGCTTCTCACTGGGAAAATCACAGTGAGAAGATGCTGACGTCCATAGGAAAGCATTGAGAAAAGCTTTCCTATGGACTGATTGAATGCTCGCGTGGCTCTTGCCGCGCAGGCGCATTCGGCGGATAACATCGGAAGAGGGAGGAGAGTCTCCAGCGCCAGTAAGCGTTTAACCCCTTCTTCCCCCTTCAGCCCAGCGGGAGGGGGACCCTGATGGTGGGGGGGACCCAAAGACCCTGTAGAGCCAGGAAACTGGCACTATAGTGGTCCTTTAATGAAGCAATGTTGGTGTATAAATAATGCCCCTGCAGTCTCACTGCTCAATTCTCTGCCGTTTATGAGGTATAGCGTATGCACCCTAGGCACACTTCCCCTGGCTGAGACTCACACAGTCTCCATAAAAAAGTTAACATTTTTAAATCATTCTTTGCAGCACAGTGTGTTTATTTTAGAAGCTCTGATCTTCTGTTCTAGTAACAGAACTTGATTCATACCCATGAGGCTATTATAGGCCTTAGCAGGTATTAACAGAGCAGGAAATAAGAACTTATACACTAAACACGCTGTATAATAGGAGAAGTTTAAAAAATAAACCTACAAATGAGTATGGAGTCTGTGCGAGTCTCAACCAGGGGAGGTGTGGCTAGGGGCTGCATAAACAAAGTGATTAACCCTTAAGTGGCAGATAATTTAGCAGTGAGACTGCAAGGGCATGATATATACACTAAAACTAAGAATGTCCACTTAACATTGTGTGCAGGAGTGAGCATACCATAAACCACTACAGAGGAACAATCAAATTTGTCTTTTATACATACTACTGGAGTGACCAAACCATTACATTCACAAATTCCACTTATGTATGGTGCTGTACAAATACAATGAAGTTTTTGTGCATCTACTAATCTGACAAAGAAAATGACACATTCTTATTTTATTTTTTTTAAAAAGGAAGACATGTTTTATTCAGATTTGTCAGTAAGACGCCAGAGCCTCCAGAAGCCTGCAATGTGGTAAGAGACAGATGGCATGGCTGCAGCTTAGTAAAGACGGTAGCATTCTCACACATCTTGTACCCCTCACATAGACATGTCTGTTTTACATGCTATGTGTTCTCCCTGCTTCTACAATCCCATCTCGATTTAACAATAAACTTAATCAACCGGTACCATTTCCTAAAAGAGATGGCCTGAAGTGGCTCCAATCCTGAGTGCTTTATCATGCCAGGCAGCGCTGGCACGGTTAGCTTATTGCAATGGCAGCTTCACAAAGCTTTTTTTAAAACGTCTTATTAAAAATAAACATCTGACATCATAGCCGTTACAGTTATTTTTTTTTATTTTTCTTTTTTTTTTGGGTGGAGCAAAGAGGTATATACATTGGTCCTCAAGACCCAGTTTCATCCTAATCAATTGTGGCTTTTAATATATCCCACAGAGCAGCTTCCTAAGGCCACTGACAAAACAGTGTGTACCCGGGTGCAAACATATACATGGAGCTGAGTTACTTTGCCCTCCCACATATAGGTAACAGGTGAACAGTTAAAAAAAAAAAAAAACATACATCTTTAACATGGTACATAACATGCATTGCAAATCCCTCTAGTAGTGAAATGCTCTAACCCTGTTAAATTTACTAATACAAATTACATCAGATAATCTAATGACCTTTCTTTCTGTAAGTTTAGGAACACATAAAGGGAATGCATATACCACAATAAACCTTTGTATCTGCTGCTGTATTTGACTGCGATGTAAATTTGCGAAAGAAAATACTGAAAAATTTCATGTTTGCACATGTAGTGGATTAAATTCTCATCAACTGTTTCAAAAAACTTTTTTTTTCTCCTCCTTAAGAATAAAATATTTGATTTACCTTTGTTGGAGGGAAATTTTAACCCAAGGGTAATCAATCACTGACCTTCATATTATTATTATTATTATTATAAATATTGATTTTATTTTTAAAAATGCAAACATATACTGCAGTGCTGTAGAACAGTCAAACAAAACTTACAGATAGCGAGTGACATAAATAGTTTAGACAAACAAAAACAAAGGGTTGTATTCCCAAAATAGTGGGTTTTGGTATGCTGAGGTAAACTAACAGCTGACCTATAAAATTTAGTTGAAAATAGCCAGTCTACAGAAAAAAAAGGCTGTTTTGTGCCTAAATTTTGCAAAACAGTTGTCAACTCAGCACAACTCAGTGTTTAGGGAATAAACTCTAAAATGATGATGAGGGCCCTGTTCAAACTATATGACAGTTTGAATGGCTTAAGGCTTCTAAAAATCTCAAACAGCCACATAATTTGTGGAAGAGTTCTAGAAGTTGCAGTCCGGTAATATTGTGAGGTCTGCGTTAGATGACCCCCATTTGAGCGTGTAACTATTGTGACAGCCTGTGCACCTTCTCTCCACAGTTAGAAGATAATTTATCACTCCGGTTGCTGTCTGCAACGTCCTAATCGCATTTTACTGACAGAAGTCAATGTGATGACCATTTGCAAAGCAGCTACGTACCTGACTACAAGCTGAATATTTATGTACCGTGCCTAGACATTAGTGCTGAGCCACTCACTATTAATGCATCAGGATATACTGACACATACGATTGACAATCTAAGTGTGTGAGTGATGTGTAAGGACTGTATCTATGCTCATAAAAAGAAAAAAAACAAGCAAATGCATCGTCCTAATGATTGCATAGTCTTTATGAAAGATCCATCAGCAAAAATAAAATTGATTGTCAAAGTGCACAAAGATTAGTTTCCCAGAAGTGCGAATAGTTTAAAGGGGGAGTGACCCTATTCAGTAAAGAGGAATTTCCAAAAGCATTTCTCTAGGTCCTTATGAGTAACACAAAGACAGCAAAAAATGTCATAAAACCAATGGTTTAAAATATGCTGAATAATATGATAAATAATACCATTGACCTGCCACAATCCATAAAACAGTAAATGGTAAATGGAACTGTGCTACTTTTGTCAAGACTCAGATTATGTAGGTTTAAAACTTTTGCAAAATAGATCTAGAAAACAGGTCTAGAAATCCCTCCAAAGCAAGATGTTCATTTAATCAACGTATTAAGTGCCTATCTGAGGAAAGGGAGATCAATATCGTATTGCAGACATCTGAACGTCAATGCAGATGTTATGTACTCCTTGGCTACAAAGCTAACACTCTTTCTATGACAGAGTAATAAAATTTGTTTCAGCCACATTTTAAAGACATTCAATTTTAATGTGCTATAGCATCCCCTATTGGTGGTTTACACTAACTGCAGGTATATAAATTACTATAACTATATCGCTTTTCTTTTTCTTTTTTGCTTGAGTTCATAGCATTAAAAGGAAAATTTTGGTTAGTAAACTTTCTGCAATTGCACCCACAGCTGGAAAATTACGCCCATGTCATCACTTTACCACCTAGCTTGCTAAAGTGATCAAATAACCTGTAACATTTTCTGCAATAGGAAAGAATGATGACTACAGGATAGATATTCACAAAGGGCGAGGGGAGAAGAAAACATACATTTTGTTACAGTTGCACTATAGGAAAGTGACTAGTTTTTATTTATTTATTTTTTGAAAGGTGACTGTCTATCTCACAACAGAATGCGTAGCATATCAGAGAGGACTAGAAACATCACCTTGCCTTTCTAGAACAATATTCAGAGGTTAAAAAAAATATTATGTAACCAAAAATAAAATAATCTATATGGCTAATGATTGATTCAACACCCTGTGGCCAAAGTACGAACTACACGTATTTAGTTTTTTTTCATTACGGATATATGTTTGTGTATGTATTAATTTATGTATAACTTGTTGTTGTTGAAGGAATACTTATTTAGAGTAAATACTAATTTAGATTAAACATGTTTTTTATATCTCCATGCTTTTATAAGTTTTTTTATTTTATAAGCCATTTCCTTTTGACTTTGTGAAATATTACATTTATTATTTGAGATATTTGTCTTTATAAAAACCGCTTTATGTGGCAGTAAGAGCATTGTGTTGTCTTGAATTATCTGAATACTAAATTCCGTTTTACTGTCATAGGCCAGCAGAACATGTTTTGTGTTAACTAGATATGAACAACTAAATAAGTTTTATGTACCATATGTCTTGGAGATTGTAAATCAAATACAAGAATGCATGTTCTTTTCCTAAGGTATGATGCATACCCCTCCAAAAAAATCTAAAATACAGTGGAGATTATTTATTTAAAATAAAGGGAAAAAAAGTCTGGTGGGCAAGGGCAATCATAAATCACAATTAATAGCACTCCTTCCTCCTTCATCAGTGGAAGAGGGAACAGGAGATGTAAGCAAAGCAGCAATGATTGAATACACCCTCACTCTGTGGAGACTATCAATCCAGTAAGTGAAGGCATGTTGTCTTACAGTGGACAGATTTCCTCTTTAGATTCTAGTGA